CCTTGTCTTGCTTCTTTCCTTGGTCTATGTTTTTAACCCATGCTTCTTATTAATAGCCAATGGCAAATTAAATAACAGAAATCCATGAGCTCAGCTGGAAGTGTATATTGGTGATTTTTAACCATTGACTAGTCTCCATAACAAATTAAATTAAAATTAGCTCAAACACATATGAATCCAAATCACCTATACTAGAAATCAATCTCTAATTTCTAAGTTAAAAGAACATAAGTTATAAATGAACCTAGCATAGGTATCTATGAACATGGCTCCTTTTGAGGCAATCAAAATGTCACAAGCCAATACAATCTCAAATCTTGCCATCAAGGCAAACCCTCTAACATCACCCTTGAAGACATCTTCAACCACAATCAAGTCCACACTCAAACAGAATGCTTAACTCGAGCTAGCCGATATGATTACTCACACCGAATGATCCCCATCCAGCCTCTTGAATGCTTAGGATGGGTCAACCATCATCAACATGGGCAACGAGTTTAAAGAACCAGGTCGATTGATCATGATCAAAGTAATGTTGTTTAGCTTGCACTAGACAAGTATGAGCTTCTTCTCCAGCAATGATGACACTAACAGACCTTGAACTCGTACATTCGAAAGTGTTCGAAGGAGTACGGATCAAGATTATTGTTGAAGAATTCATCATAGAGAGGGGTAGATACCACTTAGGAATATAAAGAGGCAGAGACACAAAGAGAGAAAAAAAAAAATCCAATGCCACTTGTCTAGGCCTATACTTAAGATAACAAATGTTTGCACCATTTTAACAATCTAGGCCAAATTACCCCAAGTTTAATTATTTATGGTTCAAAATATTCCAAAAATAAGGTCAAAGTTCAAATTGCCAATAGACTTATAGTTTAAAGTTCAAATTGTCATTTAACCCTTAATAAAATCTAGGTGGCAAGGATTTTATTAACGAATGTCAGGACCAAATTAATAGTAAAAGATGATGCCCCAAATTTGATTTTTTAAGGTCCAAAATGCACCAATTACAAGCATAGGATTTAAATTGTCCCTAAACATATAGTTCAAGACCTAAATTGTAGATTAACTTTATTTTAAATGAATGCATGTGCCATTCAAATTAGTAGTGTATGCAGAACATTGTATGTATTTGCAAAGTCTATAATAGATGTGATTCAAAAGGATAAAGTATAGCAATGGCTGGGGCAATTGCTAATTAAAAAGGAACTAATGGTGAAGTTATTCACTTATTTGAGTAAAGCGATCAAGATCTTTCAAGTAAATTAAGATCTATGATTTTTTTGTATGTAACTTATCATTCAACTTTAATTAGTCCTTTTACCCAAACAATTTTGTCATTTGGTCATTCTTAGCAACTTTCCGTTGTTGGCTTCTATTTCTTCAATTCAATGGAACTTTTTGCTTGAAATTGTGCTTTAGTTGCCTTGTTTTGCTATTATTGTGCTCTTTCCTTGTTGGCCACATCCTGTTCTTGTACTCTCAGTGTGTCATTTAATACTTTCTTTTGAAATTTAAAGACATAGACACGTAGTATTTGATTGATGATATTTGGTAAATCTTATTTCTGCATAAAATATGTACAGCCACAATCATTATAAAAACTTAAAAGTGAAATAAGCTCAATTTCTTTTTGTTTTTTTTTTGGGTTTTTGGGGAAATGGTATAATATGCTGCTTAGTGCTTTACTTACTTATTTTTTTTGTGTTCTTAACCTTCCTCACCTTTTTTTTTTGGCCAGAAAAAAAACCCTTCCTTACCTTTTTCAAAAGTTTGCGTTGTTTTCTTTTTCTTACGTTTTTGCTTTGTTTTCCGTCACTAGTTTGTCAGGGCCAAGCCCATTCATTTCATTGAAAGCCCATGACACTGTTTGACATAATCACGTTCTAAGTTTTTAATGGGTCCTTTTTTTCTTGACATTGTCCATTTTTATTTCCATGTGAAAGAAAATTTGCTTAAAATTTGTAAAAACGTTAAGTGTACATAAGATAATTATTGAAAAAAAAGTTCGCTGAACATCTTTCTATCTTGACATAATTATAGACACCTTTCATCTATTTTAAAAATCTATACTTTAATTTAATTTTAATATCATTAAAAAAAAATACTCCACTAAAAACCATGAGATTTGTCGTCTCCAAAGTCGGCCGGTGGCTGAAATTTGCTGTTCTCTTGAATTCATTGTTTATGATCTCTTGTCCTCTCCTTTTCTTTTCTTGGTGGTCTGCATTGGTTTAGTTAATTGAGTATTTCCAAAAACTTGCCCCACAAGCCATAGTTGTTGGTCTTTAAACTAAAAATATAATGCACTCATTTTAAAGTCATCTCTAAAATGATGTCCCTATTATTGTAAAATATGTTATGAGACTTAATACACATCATATAATTTAAAAAAAAACATAGTTCAAATTTAAACTTTAAATTGACCCGACCACCTATTAATTCTAAGTTCTTGTGCATTGTACTTAGAGAAAATGATAATAAAATATCCCTAAATTATATAAGTGACAATCTAATCCTTCAAAATGTTATAATTTCATTGAAGTCTCTAGAGACTTCTGTATCAATAAATTTTAAATTAAAAGATCATTTTATCTTTATTGATAAATTATGATTTCTTGTTTAATTTTATAATTCTTTAAATAAAAGTTGTGATTGGAATTTGTTATTTTAAAACTTATTTTTCAATAACAAAAAACACTTGACAAGTGGTGATTTATTATTTAATTCTTATGATTCACAGAATAAAGTTGTTATTCCTTAAGTAAAAGTTGTGATCAGTGCTTGTTTTTTAATAACATAAATTATACTTGATAAATTATAATTTTTTGTTTAACTTTTATAATTTACTAAACAAAAGTTGTTATGCTTTAAGATAAAGCTGTAATTGGGGCGGCTTGTTATTTTCAATAAGGGTAAAATGATATTTTCACTTTAAAATTTATTAACATAGAATTTCCTAGGGACTTCAATAAAATTGTAATATTTTGAGAGACTAAATTGTTATTTATATAATTTGGGGGGATTTTATCATCATTTTTCTTTGTACATATCTCATTCAACATTAATCTAATAGTTATATGCCATCCTTACTTCTAATACGTTGTAATTTCATAGGTGAAAAAGTAAATTAATCCTTAAATTATAGGTTTAAAAATGATTGATATTCTAAACCAATTCTTTTATGTAATGTCTCTCTCCAACTTTTGAAAATGATATAATTTGACTCATGCCATTAAAGATTCAGCTAAAGATTCCAAAATACTTTATTGTTTATTTATAATTATATTAAAAAATTTAAAATTATTAATTTGCCCTTACAATCTAATTATCTATTCTCTCCCTTTGATTCAATGAATTTTAAATGGTTAAGTATGTTAATATTTAAATAAATAATTTAAAAATAGGGAGACTGGCATCTAAGGCCCACATATCAAAGAAATTAGCACCTATGGCCTAATACATTTTGAATTTATTCCATAGGCCCCATGGCCTTACATGAAAATGTCTTTTTGATGAAAAGACTCATTTGCCTCTTATTTGAAAAAAATAACATCATGCGTAAGCCATTGTGTTGTTAATATACAGACTTTATTATGTTATATACAAACATTTTGTTGTTTAACTCTTGAGAAACTTGTACATTATTGTTCAATTAAATCACACTAATTATGTAAAATGATACAAATATTGTATTGTTGACTTATGGATTTTGTCACATTATATACTAACGTTTTGTTTATACATTTAAAAAACTTGTATATTATTGTTCAACTAAATCACACGAATTATGTATAACTAACGGATATTGTGTTATTAATGTATGGATCTTGGTATATACGGATATTTTGTTGTTAGACACTTGGGAGACTTGTATATTATTGTTCAAATAAATTACATAAACTATGTATAATGAATAGACATTATGTTATTAATATATGAATATTGTCATGTTATTTACAAAGAATATATTGTACATACACATAGAAAACTGTACATTTCAAATGAGGAGCAAATAAGTCTTTTCACTAGCAAACATATTTGCACACAAGGCTTATGGGCCTGCAAAATTAATTCAAAATATATTGGGTCTTAGGTAAAAATTTCTTTGATTTGCATATTTTATTTAAATTTTATTAATGTTAGCAATATATTTAATTATTTTGTCCTTTCTTTTTCATTTTGTTTTCTTATTTTTCTTTTGCCTGATTTACAATTATAATTGGTTTGGTTTCTGCCAGTTTGGTCGAATTTTAATCAGCTTAGTTTAGTTTAATTCTCAATAATTAAATTTTGGTCTAGTGACCAGTTTCTGGTTCAGCCAGCTGAATTGGCCAATCTGATATGAGTTTTTAAACCTTAATAAATATTAAAATAATCATTATTTTTTTGTTTACACGAATGAATCTTGTTAGTTAAGAATGAAAATCATTCTAAAAACCAATCAAACATGATGTTCCTATTGCAAAAGAAAAAAAGATTTGAATTGATAAATGACTCTAATTCACTCACTCCACTCACTTAATGAATATCTTAAATTACATCTCTTAAATTTTATTAATACTTAAAAATTTTCAAAACACATTTCTTTAAAAAAAATTAAAACAATTTTTACAATCAAAACACTCATCACATATGTTATTATATTTTCAAAAAAAAATTGAGATTTAATTTTTTTTAATAATATATGATAAAAATTTTTACAATCATTTATTTTAATTAAATGATTATTATTATGTCATATATAACATTTATTAAGTGAGTAAATTTAATATCACAGAAGAGATCCAGTCAAATATGCATATTATTATAAAATTCTTATCCGCTTTCCATTTCTCTTTCATTAATATCTTCCTTGAAGCCGTCCCACGTACGTTTAATTTCTTCACCTACCCGTTGTGATTCCAAGTCTTCCTACTCACTACTCACCAACCATAAGACAGCATCTATATATATATATGTGTGTGTGTGTGTATATATATATCTACAGCTTGCTAAAATCACACACACACACACACACCTGATATATTGATTCATTGTTCCATCAAACAAGCCTCGTTTTGGAGAGAGAGAGAGAGAGAGAGCAATAAGAACATGGCGAAAAATCCTGATTGTTCAGATTCAGACCCACTCAGGTGGGGGGAGGCAGCAGATTCACACAAGGGAAGTCACTTGGAGGAAGTGAGAGCCATGGTGGCCGACTACCAGAGGGCCACCGTACATCTAAGTGGCACGAGGCGGCTGTCGATTTCGCAGGTGGCGGCGGTGGCTAATCGGAGCTCCGATGTCGTGAAGGTGGTGCTATCGGAGTCGGCTAGGGCCGGCGTGAAGGCGAGCAGTGATTGGATAATTGAAAGCGTCAAGAGTGGGACTCCAATTTATGGTGTGACTACAGGCTTTGGTGCTTCTTCTAACAAGCGAACTGACCAAGTCGCTGCTCTTCAAAAGGAGATGGTCAGGTGAGACAATCGACACTGATCAGAATAGAGATATATCATACATGTGTCTATTTTTTTAGAATTAAAAAATAATTTCATCTTTAAAAGTATAGTTCCTAGAATGTTGTTGTTTTTTTTTTTTATTCTTTCCTTCAGCTTTTAAAATAGTGCAATTATTATAAAATTAATTAAATTATTAATTTATTAAAAAACTATAAAAAATATTTTAAAAATTATAAAAAAGAATCAAAAAAATTTAGATTTATTTTCTTTAATTTTTTAATCAACTAAAAATTAAAATTAACATTTATTAACTGTAAAAGCAATATAACATTATTTTAAAAGTTAAAAGAGAACATTACATAAAAAAAGAGTTTATGATTACAAACATTCTTAAACCTATAATTTGGGGATAAATTTCTCCTTTAACTTTAGTTTTTATTTTAATTTTAATTAAAGTTTAAATTTTTAAAAGTTAAGTTACATGATTATTTTAAGTTTATTAAAATTTTGTAAATGTTCTATTTGTTTTTAAAATTTTCACATAGGTCACATCATAAACAACAAGTGAATTACATGAAGGGAGAATGACATTAATGTTTTAAAACTGGGAATTTATAACAATTAAATGCCTGACTAAAATTTTTAAAAAATAAGTTGTAAATATTGATTTAGATAGTCGTAAATAGAAATTTCAACTGTAAAGTGATAATTATATTTTAAATATAAATGTTTTATTTGTAGTTATAATTTTTTAATTTATAACTATCTAAATCAATATTTATAACTGATTTTTTAAGAAATTTTATCAAGGATATAACTATTATAAATTCATTATTTTAGGACTTTAATATCATTCTTTCCTACATAAATTTACCGAGCACATTTTCTTAAGTAGAAGCAACAGGGTGTCATTACCCCTATAAGATATTGATAATTAGTTCGTCATTCTAAAAAAATGTTAGTTAAAACTTTAATTTTTTTAAAAAAGTACATCTTTTTAATTATATATAGCTTCATTAAATATCCTATATAAGTTCTGTAATAATTACAATTGATATTACAATGCATCATTTTTTATCAAAAATATTAATAAATAAAACAAATGCATAATTGAAAAAAATTATAAAAATTACTCAATATCTTATATTTTGCGGATCAATTAAGATTTAAGGAGATGTCTTATATTAAGGTAACTTTCCCCATACCCGCGTCATTTCTATTCCATACAATAGAGGGAAGATTGAATTTTTTTTTCCCCCCCTTAACGAATATAACTTCCAATTTTTTTCCTGGCAAAAATAATCAATATTTCCTTACATTTTTTCCTTGCATTGCATATATAGAGAGAGGATATAGTTTCATTATAACTCATGGAAACAATATAATTTACTCATTGTTTAGGAGAACTTACGTAGATTTGGGGGGGGGGGGAATTGTGCGTAGTTTTGGCAAATTCATAATAATTTCTATTAAAATTTAAATTTAAATTAATAAAAAAAGTCACGAGATACAAGTAATTTATTAATTGAATAATTTACTTTATTTAAAATAAAATTATATACTCCCTCTAGACCATAATATAATACATCTTTCAGAAATCTTACCTGATCTAAAATATATATAAGATATTGAATAATTTTTTGTTTTTGTTTTCAACCACACCTTCATTTATTATTCTTTTTGAAAAATTCACATATTAAAATTTTAATTATTATTATTAAGGCTCTTATATAGGGTATTTAATAAGGATATAAATAAAATATATGGACATGTTTTTTAAAGAATTTTAAGTTTAAACTAACTTTGTTCCTAAATATGAATTAGTTAATTATAACTTGTATCATGGTCTAAGAGAAAATATTTATATAACCCTTATCCTTTAAGCAAAAATAGTAACGCGAGCGTTGTTGCACTTGAGTCTTGACTAGATTCTTAAACTGTGCAATATTCGACAAGGGAAAAGATATATGGCACACTCTGCCTCAAGCAGCAAGCAGAGCAGCGATGCTTGTGAGAGTGAACACATTGCTTCAAGGCTACTCAGGCATTCGATTTGAGATCTTAGAAGCTATCACCAAACTTCTCAACCACAACGTCACTCCTTGTTTGCCTCTCCGTGGCACCGTTACCGCTTCCGGCGATCTCATCCCTCTTTCTTATATTCTCTCTCTCCTTGTTGGTCGCCCTAATTCCCAAGCCATTGGACCTTCCGGAGAGTTTCTCACTCCCAAGCAAGCTTTCCTTCTTGCCGGCATCAATACTAACCACAACGCAGGTACGCGTTTGTTAAGTGAAGAAAGAGATAGGCCTAATATGGAATTTAAAAGAAAGTCCATGCTAATCAATATATTTAGTATCCCTACTAAGGGTGTGTGTTTGGATATTTGTGAAATAAAATTGATTAAAATGATAAATTTTGAATATAATTTATTATGTTATGTGATATAGTTGATATATAAAATTGAATAGGAAGATAAATTTTAAGTATAATTTAAAAGTAAAATTAAAAATCAAGTAAAGTCATGATTTTGTAAAAATATAATCTAAACACTCCTTAACATGGGCATGAACCACATTATTAGGTGAATGTGAGAGAGAGAGAGATACTCCCTCCTTCCGTCCCTATATATAAGAGGTCTTTTAGAACTTTTTTTTATCTTTTATACAAGAAATTGTTAGCATTTTTTTTAATAAATAAATTATTATATCCTTAATAAATTGGAAAGAGAAAATCATAAGTACTTTCATTAATTTACTTTAAAAAAAATTTATTTTTTATTCATAATAATTAGAGGTAAAATTAAAATGTTATTGAGCTTTTAATTAGATAATTAACTTTTATTGATTTGCATGATTTAATTAAAAATATTTTATATATAAGAATGAAGGGAGTATTTAATATGGTTTGCTAGGCATTTTGAGAAATAGCACATCCCAACCAATCAATAAGAGAGAAAGGCACACTGCATTTATTAAGTGAAGAGAGATATAGTTATGCAAACAAGACGAGTATTGATAAACATATTCTTCATTGATGAGTCAACAATCCCCTCTAACCCTTCATGGTACACAAACCTAATGGACACATATGAGGAGGATTCATTTAAAAAAAAAAAAAAGGCTTTTCTTTTCCTCACATGAGAGCAGTTCAAAAGGGTTCCCTATCTAGGTGCTCCACCTACAAGAGTACTTTTGTAGGGAAGCACTTCCATGTGCTCCTTTAGGCAGTATTTTTTTATAAGCACTTTGATAAGAATATTACTTGATTTATTCATTTTTTTTTCTTGTAGTAGTGACCAAGTTAACTTTCCTCCAGGTGAGAGTTCAACTCCCCATATTTCACTTCTAAACCTAAAATCCTTTAAATAGATTCAGGGTGTCACTAAATGATTAACAACTATAATTCTCCATTAACAAACATGTATCCTGTATTCCAGCAAGTCGTTTAATACAATAGTGATGCAAAATGAAGTTTATATTAATTGATATTATTACAACAGGCATTAATACTAATAAATCATCAAGTGATGAGAGAGATACAGTCAGGTTCTTTGAATTGCAGCCAAAGGAAGGCCTTGCTCTTGTGAATGGCACAGCCGTTGGTTCTGGATTGGCTTCCATGGTGCTTTTTGAGGCAAATATTTTAGCTTTATTGTCAGAAGTTTCATCCGCCGTTTTTGCTGAAGTAATGCATGCGAAACCAGAATTCACTCACCAAATGATTCACAATCTCAAGCACCATCCTGGTCAGATTGAAGCTGCTGCAATTATGGAACACATTTTAGATGGAAGCTCTTATGTGAATGATCAATCCCTTAGATCACAAAAGCCTAAGAAGGAACGATATGCTCTTATTACTTCTCCTCAATGGCTAGGTCCACAGATTGAAGTCATCAGATATTCCACAAAGTCCATTGAAAGAGAGATAAACTCTGTGAACGACAATCCTTTGATTGTCGTTTCACATAACAAGGCTTTCCATGGTGGTAATTTCCAAGGCACGCCCATTGGAGTTTCCATGGATAACGTGCGTTTAGCTGTAGCTTCCATCGGCAAGCTCGTCTTTGCACAGTTCACTGAACTCGTAAACGACATGTACAACAACGGGTTGCCATCTAATCTCTCTGCTTCTAGAAACCCTAGTTTGGATTATGGTTTTAAAGCATCTGAAGTTGCAATGGCTTCTTACTGTTCTGAACTTCAGTTCTTGGCAAATCCAGTGACGAGTCATGTTCAAAGTGCAGAACATCACAACCAAGATGTGAACTCTTTGGGTTTGATTTCTGCGAGAAAAACTAGTGAGGCTGTTGGGATCTTGAAGCTCATGTGCTCAACTTATTTGGCTGCACTATGTCAAGCCATTGATCTGAGACACTTGGAAGAAATCTTCATTGTTACAGTCAAAAACACTATAAGCCGAGTTACAAAGAAGACAAACCCATTTTGTGATGAAGAAGATTTACTCAAAGTGGTTGATAATGAGTATGTCTTTTCCTACATTGACGATCCCTTCAATGCTTCATACCCCTTGATGCCAAAACTTAAACAAGTTCTTTATGAGAAAGCACACAAGAACGCTGTGAAAGAGAGGAACAATAACAGTGCTGCAGTATTTGAGAAAATTGAGTATTTTGAGAATGAGTTGAGGCTTGTTTTGCCGAAGGAAATTGAAAGAGCAAGGGTTGGTTATGAGAATGGTGAACCAGAGATTCCAAATAGAATTAAGGAGTGTAGGTCATACCCACTATACAAGTTTGTGAGGGAAGATTTAAAGACTGGGTTGCTTACTGGGGAAAAGATCAAGTCACCAGATGAGGACTTTGATAAAGTGTTCAAGGCAATTTGTGATGCAAGGATTGTTGATCCAATTTTGGAGTGCCTTGCAGATTGGAAAGGAGTTCCGATTTCAATGTGACAATGCTTTTTCTTTCTAGGTATACCCATAACCAGCAATCTGACTGTTATTCAAAGGGTTCTCTTCTCTCTAATGCTTTCCATACACAATTTTACAAAGCGAACCTTGGAATGATGTTCAAGGAACTCGGACTGCTAGGGACAAATTTAGCTACTTGCTTCCATTATAATGTTGTTTTACTTTTTGGCCCCTTATAGGTTCAGTTCTAGATCTGTCTTTGCAAAACACTACCATCCGTGTCACATCCACTACTCTGTGTTTGTGGTTTGCATGAAATAAATCACTTGGTGGTATATTTTTCTGGTGTTTTTTTTTTATGTCTGTTGTTAATGATTAAATATTAATGAATGATAAGACGGTTATTCTAAAAAGTCTTATTTGCAATCATATGTTTATTGAATTGGTATGAGATCAAAAAACAAAGATAGAAATATTAGCTTGCATATGTGAGGCTGAATTAATTGCATGTAATTTAAAATTGTCCAATTCTTTCTCCATCATCTAAATTAAAGCTATTCAAATGAAAGTTATAAAGAAGTCACATTTTGGTTAAATATAAGCAACTAGATGCCTTTTTTCAAAAAAAAAAAAAAAATTGAATATAGCTACACGCAATATGCAATATATGGGGATTTTTTTTTTAATTAAGCATAAAAGAGGAATTTATGTGTTAGATTTTTAAATTGTTTCACAAGAAAATCTCTAGAATATATAGTTTTATGTAAATTTTTAATTAATTAGTATATTATTTTATGTTACTGTTTCAAAGATTAGTTGCCTTAACTGATCAATTAATAAGTAAAATTAAGGAGATTGAAAAGGGTAATTTGTCACGACTCAAAATTTGAAGCCCTAATCTTTATATAGATTATGCTGACTTGAAATGTCAAGCTTGGGACATAACCTCTCTTATCCCAAAGATATAAGAAAACACAAGTTTTACCACATTACTCAAGAGCTAATATTATTAGAGGTGACAAAAAATCCATCAGTACTTGCAATGTTTGTAAAATGGGTACATCAACTCAATAGCATAAAGTTGTCTTTGGCTTTCAGTCTGCACACATTTTGATGCAACTTTTGTAAGATGGAGTACTTTTTGTTCTTTTATATATGAAAGCACATATTGCAAAAGGTGACAAATCGGGCCATGCCAGAATACCAAAGCTCCTGCATTTGCTGGATGAGATAATAAGAATCTTAACATTTAAATTATCAGTTGAAGCTTAAACACATGATCAAGAGTGATTATTTAGTCTCTCATAGCTAATTTTCTAAATTTTTTTTAATAATTTCAGCAAGGGGCTGATTATTAAATAATTCAAGATGGATGAGTGTAAAAGCTTTGTGAAAGTGACTAAACATTAACTTTGTCAAACTTACTTTTCAATCTAACATATTTTGAATTTTTGATGCCTATGAAGATACCCATAATGCATGAGCTCTGTACAATGTCTTTAAAATTGAATCGGATATTAAACCAAAAAGATTAGAAGTTTATGATTCGCATGGTCCAACTCAATAGTTGAACTGGTGACATAATAATTAAATTAAAAAATTATATATGTATATAATAATCTAAATATAAGAAATAATTATAAAATTGCTACTTAACTTAAACATAAAACTAAATATTGAACTAGAAAGGTCAGCGGCTCACGGTTCACATAGTCTAACTAGATTAGACCAATGGTCGAATCGGTGATATAATAATGAAATTAAAAAATTATATATGTATATAATAATTTAAATATAAAAATAAATATGAAATTGCTACTTAACCTAAACATAAAACTAAATATTTTAAATTTATTATGACTTAACGAGCCACATGATATAACATAACATTAATTTACACTAGTGCAAAATTTGTCTTTTATAGAGGACTTTTAACATCGGTTAAAAGGCACTTGCTGTTGAAAGTAGAGGCGATAGCATTTTTGTAATATTTGCTATCAATATAGGACTTTCAACATCGATTGAAAATTTAACCACCGTAGAAAAAACTTTTAACATCAAGTCTAATTTAACCCAATGTCAAAAAATTTAAAAAAATTAAATTAAAATAAAATTATTAACTTTCAACAGCGGGTGATGTGGAACTTGCTGTTGAAAGTTAATAAATAAGAAATATTAAAATTTTTTCACTTTCAACAACGGATAATGTGGCACTTACTATTGAAATTGATTCTAAATATATTTAAAAAAAAGTCTCCTCTCACTACTTCATTTCCTCTCCATCCCTTCATTTTCTTCCTCGGCCCCCTCCCCCTCTGTCGCCCCCTCCCCCCTCTCCCTCCATCATCCCTCCCCCAATTCCCTCCTCATTGCCTCCCCCTTGTCGCTCAGCAGCTCTTTGCTCCTCCTCCGTTGCTCCGTCCAAGTACCTTTCTTTTCTTTTTTTTTTAAATATTAATTTACATATATTAGTTATTATTTAATTGTAGTTTTATTTTTAATTATTATTTAAATAATTATTGTTGAATTACTTTTATTATTATTTTTATGTAAATTTGTTGTTGTTGTTGTTGTTATTTTTGGATGTTTAATGTTTAGAACAAATATTTCAAAATTTTATTAATATTAATTATTGTTGAGAGTGTTGTTAGTAGCTTCATTAGGCCTTAGGTGTTGCATGTGATTATTTACTTGGTGTAAAATTATAAATCTTTCCTTGTAATTTTTTTTTTCAATTTTTGGAAGGTTCAATTTTTAAGGGAGACTCTGTTGAAATTTTTTTAAATTTGTTACTTTTTCTAAATTACTTAAAA